TGACAAGACATATTCACGACATTTGGTATAGATAATTTTCTAAGGCAACAATGTAATCTCCGAAGAAATTGTTCCAGTCGGTTAACTATAGCATATAGCTTCCATACAAACTGAACATATAGTTACAAACATAAATGCACCTGTGAAGGGTATTTAGCTTCGGTGCAACCGAAGTTAACGTTTTTTCTTGTTTTAAGTTAACAAGCAGTTACTACGCCGGTCCGGAGCGATATTTGACACACTTGCACAGCGAGTCCCGCATTTCCGTAAAAATTTTATGTGCGCGTACATGCTGTGACATTTTTTTTTATATTTTTTATTTTTTTTTTATTTTTTTTTTTATTTTGCTAGCTTTATGTGGGTACTTGACTCATTTATGGTTTCTGTTTCTCATTAGTATTTTTTATGTTTTGAAGCTTTTTATGTTTCATAGAAATTAATTTACTTTATACATACATAAGTATATGCGTGAGTATGTTAGTTGTTGGTAGTCTATAAAAAGTGAACGACAGCGTGTGCCGACATCCAGAGCTACTAAGAACATAGGACCAAAACAATAATTTTAGTTTCAGTTAGTTGGATTACGATAAGCCTTTTTTGAAATTCCTTTCCCGATATACTTCCGAAAGTATTTTGGAGGAGCCTGACAATGTTGCTGAGAACCCTACGCATCATAACTGATGTCAAGGCGTAGATTTATGCATATGATATCAACCTGTTCAAAATGAGCCGAAACTGCAAAACCATGTAATACTCTGTCAAAAATCAATGAGATGTTGTTAGGTTTCTTTGATTACCATGATGACTAATAAAGAATGCTACTTGAGAGATAAAATAATTGTCAATTATAAAAAATCGAAGCATMCATTATTTCAGAATATTTGGAATCAGCCACGTCAAAGTAATAAACCTAAAATTTCATTACTCTATTCTCTGTTAAAAGCTATCAATTTCTTAGTCTATGCCATTAAAGCTCCACCATCAAGGAATGGCCATAGTAAAAATTCTGAATAAGTAGTAGTAGAAATAAATAGTAGTGCTCATATTTATATTTTCTTTCCGCTTAATTATAGTGCTATGCTGAACTTCGTATGTGTAGATTTCATGGTTCCCCTAAAAGAAAATTTGTAATGAAAGTCAAGCAATCGAAAAACACAGCACACAGAGAAAAACAATAGAAATCCAAGATATATTCCAATTGATAAATATATACATATGTATGCTTCACTCCACTTTTTCAAAAATGTCTACCCACAAGTACCCAAGCTTTGTTATGGCACTTTATATGTTTTCGGTTAATGGCGATTTGTGGGCATGGCAATTTTCCGATTACGCTCACCGACGGACTGACGGATGGACAGACAGACAGTCACTTGAATTTCAATTCTCATCATCCTGATCATTTATATGGAACGCACCTTGTCCAAAGTAAACAGTACTTTTTGAATCTAGCAGCCCCTGTGGCACCATCTAATGTCGACTGGTGGGTTAAAATCTGCTATCTTTATCGATTGTCCAGTGAGAATGAGAGAAGTGAGAGAAGTTATTGTTTTTTTAGTGTCAGTTTGTGTTATCTTTGCGAAAATGARCTTCAAACAAAGAGGCAATATAAAATKTGTTTTGAAATCGGTAAGAGTTTTATCGAAACGTTACAATTGATGAAACAAGTTTAACGAGTGGTTTCAACGTTTTCAAAGTGGACGTGAGGGCATAAATGAAGAGCAACAAGTGGGCCAATCAAAATCCTTGATCATCGGAAATTCCATCGAAACTGTGCGTGAGTTAATCAAAAATCAGCCGAAATCATCATTGAAATTCATGGAAGTGGAATTGAACATCTCCAAAACATCGGCTTATCGCACTTTAGCCGAACGTTTGGCTTACGAAAGGTGTGACTGACTGACCACCAACAATTGCGCAGAATCCAACATTCGAAGGGCATCATATAACCTATTACTTCACAAAAAATCCCATCTTAACCATTAACCACACCCCGTATTCACCTGATATGACACCGTGCGACTTCTTCCTTTTCGGAAAAAGGCATTTGCCCATGAAAGGAAAGCGTTATGCAAACGTAGAGGCCATTCAAAAGGCTTCCCGAAAAAACCATTTGTTCTGTTCTGTTTTTTAAAAATCCTGTTTAGTTTGGAACACTCCTTGTATGCATAATCCTATATCTTTTTTGGTTAGTTTTATATTATATATATATTCGTTAGGTGAACAAAATTACTATACTCTGTAGCAATATGTTGCAAGAGTGTACAAATTCTATATACTTACGTATGTGAATATAAAGGGTGATCTATTTCGAAGTTCCCAACATTTTAAATAAAATAACTTAGAAACTTCAAATTTAATTGGTTTATTGTGATTCGAAAGAACATCCTTTGGCATTTAGTTTTTGAGGATTATCTCTTTGAAATATTGTCGGCTGCTACGCCTTAARTGGTTCATCCGTTGAGTCCAAATTTCGATAACTCGTGCAAGCATTTCGGCTGGTAACTGGAGAATGTTACGCGTATATTTTTTTTCAAGGTCTGATTCGAAGCGAGATTGTTCGAAAAGACTTTAGTCTTTTTATATCTCCACAGRAAAAAGTTTAATTTTGCGATATTACACGATCTTARCGGSCAATCGACCAGCGCAAAACGTGAAACTATCTGCTCACCGAAGTGTTATTTCAATAAAYCCATTGATTGATATGATATGCGAGAAGCGGCGCCGTGGATTTCTTGGTTTTTGGTTTGGTTTCTATAAGACCAAATGGCGCAGAGATCACAAGCTTCAATTTCAGGCGTCAAATAATCGATTATAGTGGCAGGATACCGGTCGCCATCTTTTTTTTTTTTTTTTTTTTGTTGAAGCAATATGGACCGATGATTCCACTGGCCTACAAACCACACCAAACCGTTTTTTTTTTCTGGATGAAATAAGAGCTTTTGAATCTCTACAAGTTGGTTTTCATCCGAAATGCGTAAATTTTTCTTCTTTATAYATCCTTTGAGCCTTGTTGCTGAACAAAATTTGATTAGTAAGCGCCTAATATTTTTGGAATATAGATATTTCGTACGCTTGAAGATCTCGACGTAAAATGCGCCACGTCGGTCCAAACGTCAGTCTKAGTTGCTGTGARCAGCGCCGAATCGACACTCCACGGTCTTCGTGARCACTCTCAGCTACAGCTGCCCTCAGTATGTAATATCTGATATATTGGAGCTAACYCTCAACTAYAACACTAACCATTGAAGTTTTAAATTTCAATCTTGGCATGTTATATTGTAAAAATAATATACAAGAGAAATGTGTAAAAAGCTAGAAAATTTACTTTGCTGAGGGTTTGGTTATGAGCTAGGCAAATTTGGATCGTAATTCGAGCGTGGTATTGGTGTCATGCTAACGAGTATATAAATATAATGCAATAATACAACGACCAGATAAAAATAATATGTAAGAAAGTACTCAACTGTAACCACGAATTTTGAAGAGTCGTTATGACATTTTATTACATGCACGTTTATGGAGGCACTAAAGCTATATAGATATGCATATTAATTGCTATGATGCATTTTAATAATTATCATTTCTAATATCGTTTTCATTACAGTTATTGCTTTATTTTTTACACGCAAGTATTTTCGACGTCGGAAACACCAGTGCGATAATGCCACAAAGTGGCTTCGTCTAAACTTACGAAAGCAGTGGAATGCTTGTAAATGAAGTCGTTGACAGTTTTCAAATGGCTGAGTGTTTTAAATTTGTACATATATGTATATGAGCACATGCTTGGCGCACTTAGGCTACAATTATGCAATGTCTGGTATATAGTCGTAAAGCAAAAACTGCGAGAAGCAACGTAAGATATGTTGCGCATGCGCAGCGCAATTTTGAAAGAAATTAAAGGAGCACAAAATACTGCAAAAATAAAAATAAAAGGTGTTAACTTCGGTTGAACCGAACTTGTAACACCCTTCACAACACAAAATATTCCTTACAAGATCCGTAAGTTTATATGGCAGCAATATACTATAGTGACTCGATCTTAACAATTTCTTGGCGGATTACAACGTTGCCTCAGATAATAATCCATGCCGAATTTCTTGAAGATATCTGCTCAAATGAAAAAGTTTTCCATACAAACACTTTGCTCTGATCTTTCAGTTTGTAAACAGCTATATGCTATAGTGTCCCATGTGAACACTTTCCTTCAAGATTGGAGCATTGCCTTAGGCAATAATTCGTAATTTTTCGAATATATGTCTTAAAATAAAAATATAAGCACTTTATTCCGATCCATCAGGTTGTAAGGCACCTATATGCTATAGAGATCCAATATCGGTCATTCCGACAAATGATTACCTTCTTGGAAGGGCAAAAGAACGGGTACATAACTTTAGGTCGATATCTCAAAAACTGAGGTATCTGTTTCCTTTTGGGCTTTGCCAGTAACTTCATATACACTGTTCAGGGTATAAAAATAGTTGAAATTATAATTTTCTTTGCTTAGCTATGCTCAACCATCGTACTGAGAGCAGGAATATATCCATTTATATAATTATCTATATAGATAATATTTATCAAAGTCATATTCACTTTTCTAATTAATAGTGTCCCTTTCACTCGTTTCAGCTGTTCTACATTTTGCTGCTCACACTTCCTCTACTTGCGCACAGCTATCCTGCAGAGAGCGAAGACAAATCCATCTCACTAGAAGAGGTGGAACTGCCCGATAGCGACCATGCGGCCTCAGGCGGCGAGTCCCAAATACAGAAACGCTCAGGCAGTTTTGATTACGTTGCGCATCTGAAGTCGGGCCTTCTCTCGAGTATTGGACAAGCCTCCGCGTCCATAGCCTCGGGCAGTTCGGGCGGCAGTAGTGGTGGTGGCGGTGGCGATGGCTACAAGTCATACGAGTCGGCTCATGTATTTTACCTTTATATTCACCACTTTCTCACACACTTTTTATTACATACAAATATTTGTGTCTCTTTTTTGTTGCTATGCAACTTTTAGGGCAACTCAGTCGACTACAATCCATGGACATTTAAGAAATCTGTGCTCAACACCATATTCCAGGCGGTGAAAGCCATCACTGGTGGTGTGACAGCACTCAAGGGTCAGTTAATTAAGGGTAGCGGTTATGCATTAAGCGCTAGTGGTAATCTGGTTGCCTCCTCTGGCGACAAAGTGACCGATGTTGGCAAAGCAATCATCAATTCGGCGCAAATAAATTCACATGGCTATGGTGGTGGTGCCTCGGTGCATCCCTTCGCCAAGTTCAGCTCTTTTTCGGGTGCTTCGTCGGGCGGCAGCAGCGGCGGCAATAAACATCCAGGACCGCCTGTGGTGCACACAGAGAGTGAGTAAATGTGTTAACATATATTTATTCGTTAGAAAATAAATATTTTTTTTTAATTTAAACAAATTAAATACAATAAGAACTGTTGTTAGATGTTTCATGAATATTAAGCAGTTTACACTCCACCATTTCAAATTAGCCTCAGAGTAGAACTGTAGAAATAATTTCGATTGAAGGTATTGAATTCTTAAAAATTGAAAGTCATATATTTTCATATTTTCGAGAAAAATTAAAGATTTTGAGAAAACATAAACAGGCTTATCTAACGTTCAGAGAATATTAATGTGAATAAGTCAAAAAGGTTATTAATATAAAAACACAGCAGACGCAGACAAACAACAGACAAATTTAGCCAATAAGTCAGCTGTCCCAACAGCGAAAAAGGACACAACCAAAACAAAGATTAATGAACTTTTTAGTAAAGCAAAACACATAAAAAATTAATACAAAAACAATAGGAGTAAAGCTAGCAATCAGATGCCATCAGCGCCGGCCACACTTGCGTTGGTGATCTGTACCTTTCAGCAGCTATTTCGGCTGGCCGCCCACAATAAGCGGTCTGAGAAGCGTTGTCTTCTTCTATCTGTCTGGCTGGTATGGCTCTGCATGGCTGCATTTTTAAATGAACAAATATATTTTGTTATTGCGGCATTTATTGTTCGTTTTGCGTTCCATCYTATTACTTCCTACTTACTTCAGTACATTTTGATGCCATAGTGCAAGGCATTACATGGGGAAACTACAACCTCTTTGACCTAATTGTTATACTATCGAATATGTAATGATAAGATGTTAACAGCAATGGTTGGTACATATGGAGGTCTTCGGGTTGGAATCCACCCTCCCCTGGTGAAGCGAAAAAATGAAATTAAAAATTTATTTTCATTTATTTCTGGATTAGCATAATAAGCACACATTATATCTTCAAGGTATAATACGCACAATAGGATCAGTTCATTTCAATGGTAGTACTCGGAAGACAATAATATTGTAGAGTGATCCATTCCGAGGTTCTCTATATAAAAAAAAAAATATATAGAAACTTCAAACTTAATGGAGAATGTTTATTATTATTCGAAGGAACATATTTAGGCATACATTTTTGAAGACTATCTCTTTCATGCGGCTACGTTTTAGATGATCCATCCGTTGAGTTCAATTTTCGATGACTCGTTCGAGCATTTCAATTTTACTCCAAGACTTGAATCGAAGAAGGATTGACCCCATAGGCTTAAGACTTTACATTTTCCCACAGCAAAAGGTTTTGGTGACCAATCGATCGACACAAAACGTGGAATAATCGTTTCACCGAAACGTTTGTTCAACAAATCCATTGATTGATGTTATGTGTAGGAAAGAACGCCGTCTTTTTGAAACCAAATTTTAACTTTTTAATTTAAGACATCGTCAATTGAAAATTGCGACAAGTCGTTCTATACGTCAGTCCGAGTCCACGGTCTCCACGGTCTTCGTGTACACTCTCAGGCAGGCAATTGAGATTCGAGAGTCAATATTTCTGTCAAAACTTTAAATGCTTTTTGGCAAGTGCGGTGTTCTTTCCACAATCTTATTTTCTCCAAAGTTTCTGTGCAGCTGATTATACTGCGAGAAATGCGAATACTGTTTCATGAGACTAGGCACTTCTTGTAGGAAATATCGAATTTAATTTTTTCCTATCTTTGCTGACTTTTTTGGCATTTTCGAAATTTTATTATTCAGAGTAAGTATTTTCGGCTTAATATTTTCTAGACAGTTATTTATTGACTGTGCTACAAACTGTAGTTACTGGAACGAACCCAGGAATATTTTCACAAATATTTTATTCCGAATCTAAATATCGTATACAGATATAAAATTACTCTATACTTGAAATATCTTTTTGAGCCTGAACTTTTATTAATATTTCTCATGTATTCTAAATAAATGAATTTTATGGCAATCCTAAGTACGTAAAGCATCTTACAACACAGTCCTTCAGATGTCCGTTTTTAAATGCTTTTGATAAACAAAATTTATAAAAGATATGTAACTAACCCATTTTTTATTATGTCAGTACTTTCGACCGTTCATGTGAAAGAAATTACAGTTGATTTAGTAATTTGTATAGATAATTGATTTCAGAAGTAAAAAAAATTTCTATAAATATCCGGTGCATCCGAAACTGAATCGCTCCTTAGCTGCAGTACCTATACTCAACCATCATACCGATATAAATTAACTTTTGAGCATAGCCAACCGAACCATATTCGAGGAAACTGCAATCACTTAATGTCGAGCATTGACCTAAAAGAGCGCCGACATCGAATGCGTACGCGGCAGGGGCGCGATGGACAAAATATAAGCGCTTGCATTCACTCAATCAGCTGCGCAAAGAGTTGTCGTTTACAGTTATTGTTACTTTACTTTTGCTGCTCTTCGTTGTTGACAAATTGTCCCTCTCTGAGCTATTGGACAACGCTTGCTCTTTTGTTTTTTGCAATTCTTTGCATCACGTCGGCAACTTTCATTTTCATGTGGAACGCTTATGGTTGCCCAGATGGCATGCGTGCTTAGCTGCATAGGCTATCAAGTGGTTAATACATAACAACAACAAATTAAACGTTTAAAAAATTTGTTTACGCTCTTAACCAGAGTTAAACAAGTTTCCAAATTGGCTTGCAAGCAGCATCTCTACATGGCAGATCACCTATTTGTGCCCAATTGCGGTTACGCATGCCTAGTATGTGCTTCGCCATTGCAAAGATTTCAAGCACATATACACCATGGAATGTTTGAAACACTTTTTAATGGGGTATGCTTATATACATATAGTGTTTTTTAAATTGTACATGAATTTTTCACATTTCGCCACCTTCACAAAATAATTGGTTTAGAGTAATTTCAGATGGGTGTATTGAGCAAACAAATTTTAATGCGATAAGCACATATTTTAACATCATTTAAGCATACGATTGAATATCTTTAATCTACAACAGTTTGATTAAATATTTAACTTTCAAAAACTACATTATTTGAACCAATATAAGCATGATAAATCTTAATCCAATTATTTATATTATATAACTTGTTATAAGCCTAGTCTGGGATGGTCTACAGTGCCCTTAGCGAAAAACTTTTAATAGCTTCAGTGAACCCATGGCCGAAGAGGATATTTCAGTTTTAAAAGTGAAAAAAGTCGAAAGGAGCCCAATCCGGTAAATAGGATGGCTCAGCGATGGCTCTCGTTTTGTGGTTGGCCAATAAGATAGTCCCAGACATGCTCATTATTAAGGGGCTATAATGTAACCCATGGAAAATTAGGCGCTTTTCGTGAATTTTTTTAAAAGAAGTTACTTGATCGAATGTTTCGAAATTCTTTGGACAAAATAAGGTACATTTTCAGCAATATTTTAAGATTTTTGTTTGCAAAAATATTACAAAATAACGGAGTTATGTGCTGTCATCGGAGAGGCCGATAAAAAGTTCCCCAACTGCTGACATGATTTCGGCCGAACGAGTAGCTGAAATAAAAAGGTTATTAAAGCTAAAGGTATTTCTTATAAAATGACTTAGGATTTTTGAAAAGTATAAAAAATTAATAAAATGGGTTTTAGAGAAATTTTGGTAAAAATGATATTTTTTAAAGCCAAATTCACAATTTTCAAGCAATCACAAAGATCGTAGATCACTGTATGCATAGTGTGTATACATAGTAAATCTATTCAAGAACACTCACTTTCAATTTGAAGTCGATTGGTCAATTTCTCGTTGAATTAGGAAGTCAGCAGTTTTGAAAAATGTCGTTTCGAGAAAAACGCGAGCGATAGCTTTTAGAGCGCTGGCATTCTAAAATTATTCAAGATACGACCTTGCCGATTTCACAGGATATTTTTGAAAATGAAAAAAAAAATTCTTCTATATTATCGTTACAACTTCACTGCTCAACATCCGTTATCCATCTGGAAATTGTCGGTTTCTCGGCTGTTCTGTTCGCGTCCTTTCGTTCTATCACACAAAGTTTGCTTCCATTAATTTTTTTCGAGATACCAAATCATCCGTCACAAAAAATTATATGTGAAATGATTGGATATAACTACGAACCAAATGGACTAAATTCCAATGATCCCCTTTTTTTGAAATATTTACCCTTAATAAAATAAACGCAAAATATTTAATTATTCATCAATATTCGCCAATTACAAGAAAAATCACTCGGAGTCAAATCTGAATCAAAATACGGTTTCGGCTTTAAATTCTGTCACAATCGTGGCTCGATTCGAAGGTGCATTATCACCGTGTAAAATCCACGAATTGTACTTCCACATTTCTARCCATTTTCGACAGATGTTCTCAAGCAAACGCCTCAACGCCCAAGTAGAACTACTTATTTACTGTCTGTCACTCCGGAACAAATTCGTKATGCACCAAACCAATATTATCGAAAAATAATGAAATTTACCTTATTTGTGAACGCTTTTTTTTTTTGTTTCGGCTTGTTTTTTCCCTCCTTTCCGATTTATTTAAATGTCAAACTCATAAATYCATGTCTCAACGGCAGTTTTAAAACTTTCCACGAATGTGGGATCGGAATTCGCGCGAACCGGCATAACCAACAAGCCCTATTTACTGTCCTCTTCTTGAAAAAATGCAGCTTTATCGGGACTAGTCGAGTAAGAACGCGTTTCGTACCCAAAATAATCATCAAAATCATTCGAACGGACTCACAAGAAATGTTAATATTCGCTGATATTTTTCCAAAACTTGGCTGACGATTTTCAAGCACTATATTCTTTCACATCGAAGTTCGTCCAGAACGAAGCATGCTTTCAACGATCTTTGTATCACACGTARGCTTATGTTTTTRATAMAACTGTATCACCTATCACAGCCTTTTCCAACATTCGTAATGCTACGCTCACGAAATTCGGTTAGAAATATAAAATTTAAGATACATTTTTTATTCCATGTTTCTATCCATTTTAAAAATTGCAGGCACTGCAAGATATCCCCTCCCGAAGTTAAAAATTATACGTTATTTCCATCATAAGTGAGTATCCGCAAAAAAAAGGCTTGGAGTTGCAAGTACAAAATCATATAGTTCCCCCCAAAATTCTACTCGGGATCCGCCCC